TTAGCATGGAAGAGTCACGCGTGCCACACGATAAGCGAAGCAACCCCGCATTTGAAACAAAACACCAGTAGTGCTAAGACTTTGAGGAATAACAGCATAAATACCTGGTGTAAAGTTGTGGAAGTGTTCAAAAAGATAGGTGAGATGTCCATGTTGATAGATAAGTGTTTAAAAGCCCGATCATTTTACGTTTTGGGGATAAATTTTTGGTCACATCAGTTGGACCATTTGCTTAGATTACATCTATGGCAGAATGTGCTATAGCCCTGCGGCAGCGATCCGCGGGCTATAGTACTAGAGCTATAGTGGAACCTACTCGAAGAGCTTCACAACTCGGCTATATTACTACTAGCTATGGAATACACCGATGGCTTAGACATATGGAAGCAACTGCAGTGATCGATATAGCACCTAATATATTCATGCAGAGTTACCTGACTATACTCAATCGGGAAAAAGATAACAAATAGTCTCACAAACGCAGAAATGCAAACTAGAGTTTCGTAAATCATTCAGCTGGCGCCCCCTGTAGTCGGCATTAACAAACTTGGTTGAAAGGGTAAACCGTAAAGCAGCTCAGAGAGCGCCGTTATATTGGTCAGCACATAGTTATCTTATGATATACCATAGCACCTACAAATATATTCTATATATTGAATATATATTTAATATATATCGTATATTGTAGGATATTGAGATATTTAGTGGTTCGGCTGCGTAAAGCCTAAAATTGGCTCAGTCGCGCACGCATGCGCAGTGGAGCGATAAATTGTGGTGCGAAACTACAAACAAAGCTTGAGAAGAATGCGTGTACTTTTCGTGCAGTCAGCTTATCCGTATCTTGTATCTGTGTGTTGTGTATCATTGTGTATGTGTGCAAAGGAAAGTGTATGTATGTTCATGTGATTTGCGTTTGTTTTGGAAGGTAGCATAATTTCGTAGGGTATATTCTTCATAGTTCAATGAAAACTGCGAGCGCAACGAAGATGGAGGTGGCGAAACGCTGATTAATTCGGCAATTCTACACAATTTGGAAAGTTCCACCGGTTACCCATGCCCATGGTGGAGGGATTCACTGTGACAAGTTGGAAGGTATGTATACGTAGTCTTCATTCCAGTGTAACGAAGAGTGACTCAGCTAGAGAGTCCAACGTTTGATTAAATCGAACTCCATCTAAACACGGATGGTTTCTTATTTCTAACGACTGTAGCTAGTACTAAATTAGGTGTACACAAACATGACGATAGCCTACAGTATGAGTATATTAATAATTATAATTTATATAGCTATTTGGTTGCAAATCCACCAAAATCGTCGGTGTCGGCATTGGTCAGAGGAAACTCGGACTAGAAGTAAAATATATAGCCTGCAACACACACCGCCTACAGCAACAGAGGACTGCTTTTCCGTACCCCAGCACTACGGGTTGTAGGTTTCAGGCCCTAAATTAGATCTGCTGTTGCTATAGTTCTAGTATAGTACTGTAGCCCATGTTCGCCACAGGGGCTATATAACTCTAGAACTATAGCCCTTCGCTCCGCCACAGGCAGCACACATGCGGCACACAGGCGGCGGCGACAGCCTGTGGCGGAGCGAAGTTCTAGAGCTAAGGGCTATAGTCGTAGAGCTATTGTTGCTATGGCTGTTACTAGTGTTACTGTACGAGCATGTTTAGAACACGTTAGCACATGCTGAGTCGTCCGTCTGTAACGCTGTAACGTAGTTATTAGGGACAAATCAAACGGGAGTAAATGAAAACACGAGTATTCTGGGCCAATATGCTGAATCTTTATTCGTGTCGGTAATATACGAATGCAGGAACATAACGAGAACGAATAGCCCTACACCCAAGGCGTCGTGCCAGTCAACAGAGACCGGCCTGGAGACAAGCCCCCTTTTATACTGTAGGGCTGGTCTTGCCCAAGGGCCAGCAGCTAAAACAACAAGGTCTGGCCTGGTGTTAGTGTGTCATGGATCGGACCCTGGCTGTGTAGCGGGAACGAAGGGGCTACACCACTGACCAGTAGAGCCAAGGTTTCGTTTTGTTCCAAAGACCGCTACGATAATGTGGAACGTACAGCAGACGAAAGAAGCCAGCCGAATGAGGTCAGCGAAGCAGCAGATATATATGCTTAGCTGATAGGTTTCAGCTTGCCCGGCCGAGCTGTAGTCCATCAGACTTCAGCTAGTCGAAAACATGCTAAGTCGTGTTCTAAATTGAACTATCGGGTTCCTTTCCCCGCAGCTATTTTAGGTGGATTGGGTAAACGCACCCATTTTGTACATGTTTTACTGTAATTTCGACCTTGAGCGGCACTTCGATACTGGACCTTGTTATTAGAACGCCCTATCGCGATGCCGATTGGCCAGAGTTGCCGCACCCGGCAGTTAGATGCGATATTATATGACTACTAGGCACTTAGGATATGACTACTAGGCACCCTAACCCTAACCTAACCTAAACCCTAAACCTAACCTAAACCCTAACCCTAACCCTAAAAAAAAAAAAAATTAAATTAAATTAAAGTGCCTAGTAGTCATATAATATCACATCTAACTGCCGTTTGCAGAGTTGCCTGGCAATCACGCTCGGCAGAGGGGCGGATTCCCTGGCTGGTATTACGGAGAAGGGAAACACGTGAAGTGCGTGGGAATCGTGGGGGAAGGTCACCTTCACTTGGAGGAGAGCGAGACCGGAGGAAAAATTCCTGAGCACAGCTGAGAACGACTGATCACTGTTCATACACATGCATATGGTGCGTAAAGTTGGGTATAAGCAGGGGTTAATAATAATGACCAGATAAGGTTTTTAATACTACCACAAGATAGAGTAAGGACCAGTATACAGAAGAAGCTCAAGATTGTGTACATTTAATATTCGCATGAAACTCGTAACACAAAATGTAGCGAAATCAGCATCCAATACGTGTAAAACTCCTTTGTCATTATATTTTGTCATATTATATGTTATTTTGTCCTGGTATGAATGCGTGAGTGAGTGTGGTGTCCATGCATGCTCGTCAGGGCCGGATCTAGACGTAAGCTAAGCAAGCTACAGCTTAGGGCCTCGCAGTCTGAAGGGGCCTCTCATAATCTCAGATTGTTTACATGTGTTAGGCCAAAAATGTGTCGAGTAGCGGCGTTTTGGCGAGTCGGCCGGTAAAGGGGAAACAAGCAATATTTTATCTTAGGCCTTACTGTTTCGTATTCTTGGTGTTACCGTAGACTAAGAATATCTTGAGTTTATCGAATATATGAGATATTCTTATAGTCTGTGGTGTTACGCAAGGCTCTCTCTCTCTCTCTCTCAAAATTGCTTGAGGTCGTAGACAATAGTGAACAATGGGGGCTGACCACTGTACAATCAGGAAGTGGTACAGAAGACTGTGAATTTACAACCTAGTATTAGGTCACATGGAATCTTTAACACCTGCAGTCCGGTGCAAACCGTCATGAATGCCGTATTAAAGATGGATCTATTTGACGTGGTCGTGTGAAAGGCGCAGTTGCCATTAGGCCACGGGCGAAGCGAAGAAACATTCACCGTCTGTCTCAGCTCTCCTACCTCGTCCATCTATCTAATTGCTGGTCTACCGTGATCAGTTATATTTCGTGCCGTGTTATATCCTAACGTCATCTGATAGAGATGTTGATAGAACGTTGAAATGTAGCATCACCGATTCACGCATGCTTTAATACACCTGGCAATAACCATCGTATTTTCGTGTTCGTCACCCTTGCCCAAGTTCTGTCGTTGTCTTTTATCATTCTATCTGCCAGGCTTGCCCTTGATGGTTTCTTTTCCGTTTCCCTCTGGTGTAACTGTGCACTCGGCGTTACAGAAAAGGTGATCAATTCGACAACTTGTCAACTAAAGCGGCCCATACACGCACAATATCATTGACAATAATATATTATTGATGCAATATTATTGACAAGAAATTCTGTTGGCCACCAACGGCACAATAATATCAGAAGTAGACTTCTGATAATATTGTGCAATATCGTCATTTGTGCTCTTAATGCATCTAGCGACGTTACTAGGTTATGCAACGTGGTGATAAACGCGCGGCTGAGGAGGCGAGCGGGAGAGATGGAGTCGTATATCATGCCATGCCGCGCCCGTCAACCGGGTAATTTATAGTAGCGCGCAGCGGGCATCAGTCTGCTGTGAGTTCATGCAGGAGAGGGGGAGAGCATTATGTGTTAATGTAGTTCATCTCTACTTGTCAACGTCAATTTGACTAATTCGCGTCTCCGTTTCGGGTCCTGATATCTGATGCTGAAGGTGAACAGACGGATCTGAAATTCTGAACAATGAGACAATGAGTGGAAAATGAGAACCTTCAATAAATATCTACTGGGTTTTGATTCCTGCAGCGTGTAGGTAGACGCTACACAGAAGAGGGTGAGTGGGGAGGCAGGTAGGAGAGAAGTCAAGGACCAACAGATAACGTGAAGACCGAATGTGAGGGACTACTAGACAGATCTTTATTCACTCTAACAGGGACAGAACTAGCTCGCACCCATACGCCGGTGCGACCGGGGATAGAGTCACCCGATCCGCCTTACTCCCTATATCTCTATATCCTTCTTCCCGCTTCCATGTCGCGCGCATGCGTCTCCGTCTTCCCCGTGTCCCTGGCAGAATATTTCTACAGGTGCGTATAACCCTCGTCGGTATCGATAACAACATCTAATGAAGTTAAATGTTCCAAGGACGAGATAGCCTTCCCGCTTCACAGGTTCTACGGTTTAGTAGGTGCGCTAGTGGCACCCGTTTCTTATGGGGGTAGTATCAGGTTGCGCCGACTGTGTCCACGATAGATAGCACAGATAAGATAACACGAACACAGTATTTGAAAGCTACTCTTCGTTCGTTCTATTACCACAGAATATTCTCCTAACAGTCTAGAGAGTAACACAACTCCACGAAACTACACAGATGCCTACACGGATGTCTACACATACAGAGTACCGTAAAACAGTAATTTCGTACCTTAGCGCAGCGGTTCGCGGAGACGCTTGACTGGGGTGACGGCGAATAGTAAGAGCTAAACGGAGAAATACCACAGGCTACGTGTGAAAGGAACAGGGGCACAATCGAAGAGGAACAACAACTGGACTGGTCGAGTCAAAGGATCAGAGCCAAGTCTCCTTGTCCCTGCGCGTTTGGCGTCAACAAGTCCATAATAGTTATCTAATGGCCCCCGTATCTCACCCGCGCGACTCATGAGTCATATTGGTGTTTATTGGTGGCCTACGCCGTGCGGCAAAGCTGAAGCAGACTCACGGGAAATTATCAATGTAAACTAGTGTTGTCAATCGGTTGTAATTTCATAATCGATCATCGGTTGGACCCAAGTAACCGATGATCGGTTACTGGGGGTGTTGAATGCCTGCGTGTGCGTAACGTCGTGTGCATGTACGTGTGTGCATGTATGTGCTTGTTTAGCCCTGTTTACTGTTTGTTTTGCACTGTTTACTACTTTGTGTATAATGTACATGTACTGATTCTCATCACTTTTCCAAGTTTTCTTGTTCAAATTAAAAAAGAAGAAGAGTATAATCGATGATCGTGACATCACTAATGTAAACCCTAAGTGTGGAGAAGCCGGCGCTTTCCTACAATGTCAGTTCTCTCTTACTTGACACTAGCTGATTAGTAATATTCTCTCATGGCGTCATCAGTATCCCCGACGTGATGGATGGACTTAATAGTAGTTCCTTCGCGGATACTGGCCGGCATCGGGATTGGCATGGGAACACATTGTTGGCAACATGAATATGTTTCACTAAAATATAATTTCCGCGTAATATAATTCACGTGTAATTAGTGATGTCACGATCATCGATTATACTCGATCATCGGTTGAACAGTGGCTCGAACCAAGCGCTTAGTGATGTCACGATCATCGATTATACTCGATCATCGGTTGAACAGTGGCTCGAACCAAGCGCGTGGTTATCAAAATTCATCATTGATTTCATCAAAAAAAAAAGAAGAGATATCATCGCTACTATACAAGTTATCCTTTATTCACATACATGTATTATACACACAGTAGTAAACAGTGCAAAACAAAAAGTATACAGGGCTAAACAAGCACATACATGCACACACGTACATGCACACGACGTTACGCACACGCAGGCATTCAACACCCCGAGTAACCGATTGTAATCGATCATCGGTTACTAGGGTCCAACCGATGATCGATTACGAAATTACAACCGATTGACAACACTACGTGTAATATCGATCGCAGCACTTCCCCCGCGGCCATAAAACGAGACTCCGTTCTCTTAGAAATCGTCCACAATGTATCTCGTTAGGACGCACAGCATGCTAACGGCTCCCCTTGCGTAACGTATCGCATCGCCGAGGACCTGCAGCGAACGATATTAGCAATAACGCGAAAAGGTAAATCGCGCCGTACCCGTATAGTGGTGTAAATATAAGTGCCAATAATCGCGTCAATAACGACGACAATCCGCCAGAATATTGCGCAAGTCAAAAGTTTCCTTCAATATTGCACACTAACGATCAATAATATTGTCAATATTTATTATTTACAATATTATTGTCAATAATATTGTGCGTGTATGGGCCCCTTAAAAAGTGAATAGTGTAAACCCAGCGTGTCGGAGCATTCATGGGATCCGATATCGCATAGTAGTTTCAACTTCAAAGGCACGTCGTACCCAACATGTGGTCCGTGGAAAGGCCTGAGGAGTGCACTGTAGTCATAACATTAGACTGTTTCACGTTGTGGGACCTTTTCGCCACGCAGTGAGAAGCGAAAAGGTGACTTGTGGCTAGAGGGTAATAAGTAGTTACTATTGTTTCGTGAATGTGCACAAATCTGTACGCTAGTCGGAGACGGTTCACGTCTAACGCAAAGGCACTCGAGCCCCGTATCAATGATAAAATGGTAAATAAACAAATTCTATTTACCACCTAATGATATTATTATGCATTCGCTATCGCCTGATAATTGCTCGCGAATGCCGCTCAAACGCGCCTCTACAACGCACGGCGAACTATAGTGATTTCACACGCGAGTGTACAATCGTTTCTAGCAGGGTAATAATTCCCTCCTAGCTCTAGATCTATAGCCCTTCGCTCTGCCACATGTGGGGAGCAGGAGGTTGCTACCTGAGGTGGCAGGGCGAAGGTTTATGGTTCTAGAGCTAGACAGGTGCGGACCCATGGGAAGCATGAGACAGGACAGGTCACGTGTAGTTGTTAAATAGGTTTTGTGTGTTGGGTTGGCTTAGGGCGGGGGTCACTGTGTGTAGGCGCTGGCGTGTTGTGTGTCTTCAGCTTTCGTGGTTCTCCGAGCTGGCTTGCCTGTACGGTAGTGTAGGAGGGGGAGGGGGTGTTGTCGTTGACACTGGATGGCACTTGGCACTTGGAGCGTTTCAATAAAATATAATG